GTGTTGTGCGTGTGCATTGTTTGTAATTGTGTGTGTGTGTGAGTGTGTTTGTGATTGTGTGTGTGGCATATTTGTTTATGACTGTAGCGTGTGTGAGTGATGTGTGTGCATATTGTGCATATTTGTTTATGTGTGTGTGTGTGAGTGTGTTTGTGATTGTGTGTGCATATTTGTTTGTAGAGTGTGTGTGAGTGTGTTTTGATTGTGCGTGTGCATATTTGTTTGTAATTGTGAGTGTGTGTGAGTGTGCCATATTGTTGACTGTATGTAGTGTGTTTGTGATTGTGCGTGTGCATATTTGTTTGTAATTGTGAGTGTGTGTGAGTGTGTTTGTGATTGTGCGTGTGCATATTTGTTTGTAATTGTGAGTGTGTGTGAGTGTGTTTGATTGATTGATGTGTGTGCCATACGTATTGTGTGCCCAACCGTGTGCATATTTGCCAACTGTGCATGTAAAATATTTGTTTGTAACCACAGTGATATGTCTGTGAAACTGTCTGTATAACTAAATCTATGGAGTTGCATGTTTATTAAAAGGATAGATATATACATGTAAATAATTTTGGATCTAAACACTTCTTTCCACTAACATTTCCAAAATCCCCGTGTCCGAATATCCTAAATCAAAAATGAGGAATATATGTATAGATAGATAGATAGATAAGTATATATGAGTGATTAATTTATTGATGAATTGATAGAGAGGTAGATAGATAGATTGATATATAGATAAAAAGATATAGATATTATGATAGCAATAATAATGATAATGATGATGATATTGATAATGATAGATAATGATGATGATATTGATAATAATGACGAGAATAATGATGATGATATTGATAATAATGACGATAATAATGATGATGATGACGATAATGACAATAATAATGATGTTCATAATGATAAATAATAGTAGTAATAATGATGATAACCAACAAGTCACTAATGATTATAATAATGATAGTGATAACAATATATATGGTAATGATAATACTAGTAATCATAATCATGATAATAAAACAATGATAATTATGATAATGATATGATAATAACAATAATAATATGATAATAACAATAATAATGATAATGATATTAAGATATAACATTAATAATAATAAAACAACAATAATAATATAATAACAGTAATAATGATAACAATAAAAAAGTGATAATATTGATAATGATAATAACAATGATAATGATAATAATGATAATATAATGATAATATGATAGAACTAATAATAATTATAATGGTTATAATAGTAATATAATAATAATGATAATATAATGGTTATATAGTAATAATAATTATGATGGTTATAATAGTAATAATGATTATAATGGTTATGATAGTAATAGTAATAATTATAATAATAATTACAATAATATAATAACAATATTATTAATAATGATAATAATAATAATAATTACAATAATGATGATAATGATAATGAATAATATATATTTATTATTATATTTATTATTATTATTATTATCATTATTATTATTATTATTAATATTATTATATTATTATTATTATTATATATGATAAAATGGTCATGATAATGATAATAATGATAAAGATGATGATGCTAATAATCGTAATAAAAATAACGATAATACTAATAATAATGATAATAGTAATAATGATAGTAGATATGATATTGGTATTGATAGTGATAATAATAATACTAATTATTGTCATTATCATTATCATCTTTATTATCATCATTTTAATCATTATTCAGCATTATTATTATCATCATTTTAATCATTATCATCACTTTTATTGTTATCACAACAGCAACACTGATAATGATAATAATGATAATAGTAATAACAATCTTAGCAATGATAAAGATAATGGTAATCATGATGATAATAAAAAAATATCATTACTATTATCATTATGTTATTTATGATAGTAACAATTAACTTAATGATACCAATAATGATAATAATCATAGCAATAATGGTAATAGTAATGCTAATAGTAATAATAATTAAAGTGATTAATGCTGATAAAAACAATATTGATTATAGTAATAACAATGATAATGATAATGACAATAATGACAATGATGATAAGGATGATAACGACAATGCTAATGATGATAAATGCAATAAAGATGATAATGATGATAATGACAATGGTAATGATAATAATGGCAATGACAACGATAATTATGGTAATAACAATGACAATAATAAGAATGACAATATTAACGATGATAATAATGATAATAAACAATGAGAATAATTATATAAGAAAAATAAATACAAAATATATATATATATATATATATATATATATATATATATATATATAATATATATATATATATATATATATATTATGTGTGTGTGTGTGTGTGTGTGTGTGTGTGTGTGTTGTGTATTATATGTATGTATGCATGTATGTATATATATTTCGTGCGTACAATACAACAGAGAAAAGCTATGAAATATTTGCACTTTAGCAACCCATCTTTTGCACTTCCAGATGTTTACAAAACATGATTTAAACTAAATCGTATTTTTTCTGACCTATGACTTTGCATTCCTGAGCTCTCTTTTCATATCATACATTTCCTCTTTTTTTTTTTTACGTAGGAATGGATGAGTTATCCTTTGAATTATTTACCATGTTCGTATCACACTCAGAATCATCCTTGTTATGATCACTCTCTCCCGCAGGTGGTCCTCGGGAGACAATTCTCCGGCGTAGGGATATGCACACTCAACATGAATGACAACATAGCGCTGTACATACGTCTGCTGTACGGTCTGCTGTTAGTATGTCCTGCTTATGTTGTACTTGGTCTTTGGGAAGTCCGTGTAAGAGAGGGAGAGGAAGAGAGAGAGAGAGACAGGAGATAGAGAGGGAGAGAGAGAGAGGGGGGAGGGAGAGAGAGAGGGAGAGGAAAGAGAGAGAGGGGTAGAGGGAGAGAGAGGAGGGAGGAGAGAGGGAGAGAGAGAGAGAGAGAGAGAGAGAGAGAGAGAGAGAGAGAGAGAGAGAGAGAGAGAGAGAGAGAGAGAGAGAGAGAGAGAAGAGAGAGAGAGAGAGAGAGAGAGAGAGAGAGAGAGAGAGAGAGAGAGAGAGAGAGAGAGAGAAGAGAGAGAGAGTGTTGTGTGATTGTATGTATTTTTGTTATTGTAATCAAAGAAAGAGGTCAGTATTTAGTTTTTAGTGAAGACCTCAGAGTTCCCTTCAGAGGCTGCATAATGATATAATTGTAATGATACTAATGATAATTATGATTAACATTGTAATGATGATGATGAAAGCATAATGATAATGATGATAGAAATATTGATAATAATAATGATGATGATGATGATGATGTAAATAATAATGATGATAATTATGACTATAATAATGATAATGATAGTAAGAATAATGATAACAGTAATGCTGATTATGATAATGATAGTAATAAGTCTTATGCTAATAATTATGATAATAATGGTAATAATGCTTATGATAACGATTATGATAATACTAATAACAGTAATAATAATATCAATAATGATAATAAAATGATGTCGATTATGATATTATTTATAATAATGCTAGCAATAATGATGATAGCAACATTAATGATAATAATGATAAAAGTAACACCAAAAATAATAATAATAAAAATAATGATGATAATAATGATAGTATTACCTTTATCATTATTCTTCTTATTGTTAATAATAATAGAAATATTAATCGGCTTTTATTATTTTCTGTTTCTTTATTTTCCCCTTTTTATTAATAATTTCTCCTCACCCATCCCTTCCCCTCCTCATTCTCACTCACTCCTCCTTCCTTCTTCTTCTTCCCCTCTTTCTCTCTTCCTCCTCCTCCTTCCTCTCCCTTCTTTCCCTCCTCCCTCCTCTTCCTTCCTCCCCCTACCCTTCTTCCTTCCTCCTCCCTCTTCTTCCTCCTCTTCCTTCTCGCTTCCTCCCTCCCCTCCCCTCCCTCCTCCCCCATCCTCCCTTCCCCTCCCTCAATCCTCCTCCTCCCCCTCCCCTTCCATCTTCCTCCTCTCTCCCTCCTTCCTCCCTTTCTCCCCCCCCTCAATCCTCCCTCCCCTTCCTCCTCTTCCCCTCCCTCCTCCCTCCCCCTTCCTCCTTCATCCTCCCTCCCCTCCCTCCTTCCCCTCCTCCTTCCTCCTCCTCCTCCCCCCCCTTCTCCTCCTCTCCCTACCTACCCCTTCCATCTTCCTCCTCTCTCCCTCCTTCCTCCCTCTTCCTCCTCCTCCCTCCCCTCCCTCTTCCTCCCCCTCCCCCCTCCCTCTCCCTCACCTCCTTCCTCCTCCTCCTTCCTTCCTCCCTCCTTCCTCCATCCCCTCCTCCTTCCTTCCTTCCTCCCCCTCACCTCCTTCCTCCTCCCCTCCTCCTTCCCCCTCCTCCTTCCTCCCCTCCCCCCTCCTCCTTCCTCCCTCTTCCCTCCTTCCCCCTCCTCACCTCCTTCCTCCTTCCCCTCCTCTTCTTCCTTCCTCCTCCCTCACCTCCTTCCTCCCCACTCCCCTCCTCCCTTCCCTTCCTCCTTCCTCCTTCCTCCTCCCTCCTCCTCCTTCCTCCCCTCACCTCCTCCCCCTCACTCCTCCTCCTTCCTCCTTCCTCCCTCCCCTCACCTCCTCCTCCCTCCCTCCTCCCCTTCCTCCTTCCCCCTCACCTCCCTCCTCCCTCCTTCCCTCACCTCCTCCCTCCTCCTCCTTCCTACCTTCCTCCTCCCCTTCACCTCCTCACCTCCTCCCTCCTTCCTCCTTCCTCCCCCCAGGTACGTCATCCCTCTCCTCCTCGTCATTTACTTCCACCTCCGCGTCAGCCACGAGATCGACAGAAAGGTCAGCGCGAGAGAGGATGACTGTCAGCCGTCAGCCGAGGAGGGAGAGCTGACGAACCGCGTCTGGACAGTGCGAGGGAGAGCGGCGGATGCGAGGTGCGGGTGAGAGGGAGAGGGAGAGGGGGAGAGAGGGAGGGAGGGGAGAGGGAAAGGGAGAGAGGGAGAGGAGAGGGGAGAGGGAGGGGGAGGGAGAGGGAGAGGGGAAAGGGAAAGGGAGAGAGGGAGGGAGAGGGGAAAGTGAGGGAAAGGGAGAGGGAGAGGGAGGAGAGAGAGAGAGAGAGAGAGAAGAGAGAGAGAGAGGGAGGGGGAAGTGAGGGAGGGAGAGAGAGAGAGAGAGAGAGAGAGAGAGAGAGAGAGAGAGAGAGAGAGAGAGAGAGAGAGAGAGAGAGAGAGAGAGAGAGAGAAGAGAGAAGGAGAGGGATATTATATGTATAGATATGAATGAAAAAACACGGGTACATATATTTTTGATCATATATATTCTTGCCTATGAAAACAAAATAATAATTCATATTGAAAAACCAATTCTACTTCATTTTCTTTACCTTCCCCTTCTACCCCATTTTCTTTTACCTTCTTCTCCGTTTTCTTTCAACTTCTTCCCCATTTTCTTTAGTCTTCCCCTCTTCCCGTTTTCTGTTCACCTTCTCTTCTACCCCTTTATCTCTCTCTCTCTCTCCCCCCCCCCCTCCCACCAGGGCCATTCGCCGGACTGACGTGGCATCGCGTGGCACCTTCCATGGAGAGACGGAGGCGTGCCAACTGGACCTGGAAGAAGAGAGGAGGAGCCAGAAATATTTGGCACTCATGATTGGCATCTCCACGCTGTGCCTCACCCCCTGGCTGTTCTCAGGTGCCGACCCCCCCCCTTTTCTGAACTCTTTCGGTTGTTCAGTAATATTTGATATTTATTTTTATATTTTTTCATTTTATTATTTTTTGTTTGTTATTATTATCATTGGTATTATCAAAATAATTATTATTTTCACTATTATCATCATGATTATTATCACTATTATTATCATAATTATTATTATTATTATTATTATCATTATTATCATCATAATTATTATTATCATTATCATTATTTCTAATATTATCATTATTATCATCATTATCATTATCATTGTTATTGTTGTTAGTATCATTACCGTTATCATTATCTTTTTTTCTTGTTATTGCTCTTTTTTATATCTACTATCATATCATCATTATCATTATCATTTCTTACTGTATTGCGATATCATTATATATTACACTTTTTTTTTCATTAGATTTTAAAATGATGAAAATAATTAACACTAATAATGGTAACAACGCTAATTACTTCTTTCCTCTTTGCTTCTTCCTTTTCGCTTATTGTCGTTATTATCATTATCATTATGCTTGTTATCATTGTTATTATCATCACTATTGTTATTTTCATTATCATTATCATTTTTATTATTATTATCATTATTTTCTTTATCATCATAATTACTATCATTGTTATTATTATCATCATTATCTTTGTTATCATTATTGTCATTTTCATCATTGTTATTGTTATCGTTATTATTATTATCATTATCATTGCTGTTATTATCATTATCATCATCCTTGTTATCATTGTTATCATTATCATTATCTTCATTGCTATCATTATTATTATCATTAGATATTTTAGAATTACATGAGTAATTAACAATAATGAAAGTAATAGCACTAGATTTTTTTATATACCAGAAACACCCTCCCCCCCCCCTTCCTGCATATATAAAAAAGTTAAGTGCTTTTCGGTTCATTAAATATTTGTATAAAAAAAACATTTATATCTGATTTATATTTTCATTTTACTTAAGTATTTCTTCTTTCTTTCTCTCTCTCTCTGTTTTTTTTTTCTTCTTCTTCATCTTCTTCACAGTTCTCTAATGCAAGGTTGCAATGTTGATATATCATTTAAGTCGTATGTCTTTTTTCATATACATTATTGCAATTTAGAACCTTTTACTGATCTAGCAAAAAAAAAAAAAAAAAAAAATCATAATAATGATAATAATAGGATAACAAAAAATATAGTGCAACAAGTAAAGAATAAAAGAAATATACACTGTATTTCTTTCAAGATAATATTTGAAGATAAATTCTTGATTTATCTATACTTTGGTTATTTGTGAACGCTTAATAATTTTACTTTGTGTAGAATTATTCCTTGATACACAGACCAATACACTGAAAGTCTCTCTCTCTCTCTCTCTGTCTCTGTCTCTGTCTCTCTCTCACTCACTCAATCACTCACTCACTCTCTTTCTTTCTCTTTCTCTCTCGCTCTCTCTCAGTCTCTTAATATCTCTCTCCCACTCTCTCTCTCACTCACTCACTCACTCTCTTTCTTTCTTTCTTTCTCTCGCTCTCGCTCTCTCTCAATCTCTTAATATCTCTCTCCCACTCTGTTTCTCCGTCTCTCTTTTCTCTCTCTCTCGCTCGCTCTCGCTCTCTCTCGATCTCTTAATATCTCTCTCTCTCTCTCTCTCTCTTTCTTCTATCTATCTATTCAAAACTAAATCCAAAAGAACAATGCCAGAGCAATGTAAAACAACAAAAAACATAACAAAACATAACACTTATATCTTTATTGTATTTTCTTCTTCTTTTTTCTCACTCCCTTCTCTCTC